CCGCTGCGTCACTTGCCCACAAGCCCTTCCCTGATCTAACGCCCGGTTACGAACGCTACAAACCGCTCGACAAAGCCTACAGCGACTTAATGAATTTAAGCCAGGGAGGGCTTGACGGCGAATCCTACACGCTTACCTTCATCGACGCAAGCACTCGCTACGTCTGGGCTGTCAATACTGGCTGCAGGTCACTCGCCTTCGAGTGCTTCATCGCGTGGATGAAGCGGGCCGAACGACAATCGGGGCTGAAGAAAAAAACCTGGCAAACGGATGGAGCCCTGGAGTTCTTCTCAGACGAGTTCAAGAAGCTCTTCAGGAAGAAAGGGATTGAACACCTGGTGTCTCTGCCCTACGCTCACGAGCAGTAAGGAGTAGCAGAACGGACAAACAGGAGCCTCGCCACCAGGATGAGGGCCCTGATGAAGCGGTCGGCCATCCCAACTTGGTACTGGCCGTTCGCCATGAACCATGCAGTCCGGCTACACAACTTGCTGTCCTCCCAAAGCCTCAAGAACAACAACTCTCCTTACAGGGCTTGGACGGGCAAAAAAGCATGTGAAAATCTAGAAGAAAGAAGAGGGTTGCACTAGCAAGAATGGGGATACAAATAGCAAACCCTAGAAGGGTTGTACTCGCTATAGAGCACCCCACTATAGGCTAGAGCATAAGATAACATTCTGACACACCCCCATAGCCAAAGTGGGGTGTAATCAGCAGAGCAAGCAAAGCAGTACAAGCTCAGGGTGGATCACAATGTCACCACACATTCTGAGCACAAGTTCAAGAAGCAATAGTTTAAAGGGTACAATTATGAGCAAAGCTAATGGTAGTCACAACGGGCAAGCGAGGAGGAGGAGAGAGAGTGAGAGGAGAGGAGATAGGAGGCGACGGCTGAAGCTGCAGACACACGGGCAACAGGAGGCAGACTGGCACAGCGGCTACCGGACGAAGTCCCCGGAATACAGGAGTAACAGGCCCCGCGGATAAAGTAGCGGCAGACGAGCAACGGACCCACGGGCGGCTGGCACAGCTGGCTACGACTGGGCTACCGGACGAAGTCCCCGGAATACAGGTGCTGCTGGCGACACGACGGCAACCTCCATACAGCTTCCCCAAACTATCCCACTCCCCCTAACACACACCCGCTGCTACACCGCTAGCTCCACTCCCACGCACCCCCCTTAAACCCTAAACCCCAGTCTCCCACACATCCACCCCCCTCAGCGACAGCTGCAGCAGTGGGAGACAAAGGAGGAGGAGGAGCAAAGGGAGGAATGCAGAAGTGCCACCCCCATACTCGCCTCCCCCTACTCGCCACTCCCCAAACCCTAACACAGGCAGGGCGGGATGGCGGGTAGGGAGGTTACGGGGGAGGGGGGGGGGGGGGGGGGGGGGGAACCGACGCGCGGCCTCCCAGGGCGCCAAGACAGGCAGCAGAAGGGGCGGCGCTCGCCCCCCTCCCCCAGGTAAGCGGCCCCCGAGGGTCGCCTCGACAGGCGACGGGAAAAGGGGCCGCAGGCGGGGCCGGGGCCGGGGCGCAGGTAGGGCGATGGGGTCGGGGCGCAGGTAGGGCGTCGGGGCCGGGGCCGCAGGTGGGGCCGGGGCCGGGGCGCAGGTAGGGCGACGGGGCCGAGGCGCGTGCCCTCGGTGCGCCGCGACGGGTCCCCGTCGCCCGTCGCGGCGCCTCCAGAGGGCGACGCGGCGAACGACGGGGCAGAAGCCCGCCGCGCGCCTCGGGGCGCACAGCGGGCAGAGAACCGCCGCGCGCCTCGGGGTGCACGGCGGGCAGAAAATCGCCGCGCGCCTCGGGGCGCACGGCGGGCAGAAAACCGCCGCGCGCCTCGGGGCGCACGGCGGGCAGAAAACCGCCGCGCGCCTCGGGGCGCACGGCGGGAAGAAAAAGTGCCGCACGCCAGGGGGCGTGCGGCTCAGAGAGTAGTGAAAGGTAGTTGCAGCGGAAGCGAGGAGGTGGTAACCCACCCACAGGATCGATCCAAGGGGATCGACCTGCTCTGATAGCATGTGAAAGTTAAGAAGAAAGAAGAGGGATGCACTAGCAAGAATGGGGATACAAATAGCAAACCCTAGAAGGGTTGTACTCGCTATAGAGCACCCCACTATAGGCTAGAGCATAAGATAACATTCTGACAAAGCAGACACGCATCTGCTTCGGGTGTTCGGCTGCATGGTACAGTACATGCCACACACAGCAAGGACCGGAAAGTTCGCTGACCGGGCTCGCTGGGGCATCCACCCCGGGATTAAAAAGGAATACATGGCATGGATCGTGCTGGACTACGCGACACACGAAGTGACAAAATCACGTGACTGCATCTTCTACGAGAGGCTGACTCTGCCACTGTGCAACAAACACCATGAAGCTGACAGGGCACCGGAAAGGGTTTTTGAGGGACACCGCAGCTTAGCAACTCCACACGATGAAGCTGACCTGGCGGAAGATGTGGATGCAACAAACGTTACCCAGTTTGAGAGCGCACCCAACATCCCCCTTACAAGCCCGCTCCAAACTCCAACCTTCATACCTGTACACCACTTCGATCCCGACGATACAACTCGCGAAGCCTACAACTTCGACTGCGACGCGTGCCAATCGCCAGATGCCCCGTTACCACCGCCAAACACTTCGCAAGACTCCCTCCGCCCTGGTAACGAAAGTGATGACGACGTGGTCGAAGTAACCAGCTTCCACGACTACGATCGCCTGCACTACGAAAAGACCAACGAAATGTCTCTGCATCCTTGGGCTCGTAGTCGCTGTTTGCCACGCCTCCCCCAAGGAGCCCACTACCATTCGTCAAGCTCTCTCCGGCCCCGACAGTGAGAAATGGAAGGCAGCCATGGCCAAGGAGATCGCGCCGCTCAAGAGCCGTGGAACATGGAAGCTGGTTCCCCGGACATCTACGAAGGGGAGAAAAATTCTCAGCGGAAAATGAGTTTTCCGCATTAAGACACTGGCGGATGGCTCCATCGACAAATACAAAGCGCGATGGGTGGTGCGCGGCTTCAAGCAAACTCACATGGTAGATTCAATCTCATGTACGCACCAGTCGGGTGGCATACTTCAGTGCGGATCCTGATTTGCATTGCAGCCGTCAAACAGCGCCCACTCCGTCAAATTGACGTCGGCAGTGCATTCTTGTATGCCCCGGTCGACGCAATCATCTTCGTTGAGCAGCTGCATGCCTTTGAAGAGAACGACGGCGCCGTCTGCCTGCTCCAGAAATCCCTCTACGGGATTAAGCAAGCACCTCGTCTGTGGCAGCATTACCTGCACACCATCCTCACGGAGCTCGGTTTCCAACAACTGCCACACGACCTCGGCATGTACAGGAAGGAGTTACGCAGCAAATTCATTCTCCTCGTTGCCTACGTCGACGACCTCCTCTACACCGGTGACAACACGGAACTGTTGGATCAGTTCGAAGCAGATATCAAGGAGAAGCTAGAGGTCACGGTCAATCACGACGTTACGCAATTCTTGGGTCTCAACGTCACCCAGTCCGCCTCCTTCATTCACCTCTCCGCCGCCAAATATGCCGAAACACTCGCGAAGAAATTCAGCATCGCACCTATCAACCTCACTACCCCTTTTTGTACTCCTCCACCTAACCACGAAGCAGACACCACGCCCCTCTCTCTCTCGAGGATCATCGGCTCTATCAGCAGCAGCTGGGTGCCTCCTGTTCGCCGGTGTCACGTGCCGGCCTGATCTCTCCTACGTCGCAAGCCAGCTCGCTCAGTACATGAAGCGACTTGAAGGGGAGAATCTGCTGGATCTACGCCGTGCACTTCAATAGTTCATCTCTACTCCCGACGTCGGCCTCACCTACGAAGCCAACTTAACAGCTACCCTGTAGCTGCATGGCTACGTAGACGCAGACCACGCAGGAGACATTGACAACAGACGCTCCCACACAGGATTCATCTTCCAACTCCAACCCGCTGGACTCATCTCATGGAATTCTCAGAAGCAGGAACTTATCGCTCTTTCTCTAAGAATCTTAGGCATGAAGTTGTGTGTGATTAGATCAAGGTTGGGGTACAAGACTAGAGTGTCGAGAATGTTTCTGTACCCCCTAAGGCTAGCCCCAATATAGCCTAGATACTAATATGCATTTGTTTTGACACTTCCGTCAGCCGAAGCTGAATTCATCGCCGCCTCCGCAGCCGTTCGCGAAGGATTGTACCTGATGGAGCTCCTGCAGGAGGCGAAAGTGACGATGAACGGGCACTTCACGTTACTCTGCGACAACCAGAGCGCGATCAAGTTTGCGAACAAGCCCGTCTTCGTAAACTGCACGTACCGTAACACATCGCCCTTCGCTACTTTTTTCGTCAAAGACGAAATCGACAAGGGCAAGGTCAAACTTATGTACTGCCCAACTGGTGACGTGGCGGCCGACTTTCTGACAAAGAAACTGCCACGTCAACAGTTTCAGCACTGCGCCAATCTCTGCGGGATCACCAAGAAGTCCCACGTGGCTCACCTTCAGGAATGAAGGGGAGTGTTGGAATAACCGAAAGGTTATCATGAGCATTCCCTAAGGTTCTCCACTCTCCCAAAGGTTTCCAAAGGTTGTGTTCCTGCAAGTCTGTTTGTGTTTCCGATCCAGTTCAGGACGCCAGCTGCTGGATGGGGAGGCCGATACGGTACCTACTTGTAAAGCTATTATCAATTTATTACAAGGTAGCACCTAGTAACATGTATTACCTACTACCTACCATATGAAGATCTCCTATAAATAGATGAACTTCAACAACAAAATCTCCATTATGGAGCAAAAATGACGAGACTTGGGAAAAATACGGTAGGTTAGCTGGATGAGCATGCTTCTTCTCTGGCCTCCTGCGCTAGAAATGGGTCTGAGCCAAAATTTGGGCGCTGGGGGGGCACAGCACCAGAACAACACATCCCAACGAGTTGTCCACCCTGCAGCGCGCGCTCTTATCCCACACACGCTGTGTCCATGGAACCAGTGCTAGTTTGCCGTGTTGTCAGTAGGGTCAAAAATGCCATAGGTGTTGTCTGTTTGGGCTCCTGCTGAGATTCGTACCCCTGCTGCTTCAGGGTTGATGGTCATGGACATGGCTGCCTGCACATGAGGCACGCCCACAGCTACCATGGTAGAGCCTCCATTGCTGCTCGACTCGTTCTGGATCCGCACCAGTTGTTCCTGTTGAGAGCACGACACACGTGGAAGGGAATAGATGGGACAATGTTTCGAGTAATCATGTCACGCAACAAGACAAAGGGATGGCATTGCTGGGCCCAAAGCACTGGCGTGCATCCCGTGCAGCTTACATGAATGGACAGCTGGGTGCGCGTCTCATCGTCCTCCAGCTGTGCCACAACGTCCTCCACTGCTCCTCCGCCTCCTGCCCTCCCTCCTCTGCGCATTTCCATGCTGAGCCCCCCCACAGTGGCCCTCGCCCTGTGCTCTGTGTGCGCCCCCCTTGACTCTACAGACCGCACAAACACGTCCCCCCTCTGCTGCATCTCCCCTCCTGATCCTGCACCTAGCAAGCCCTGGAAGGGCGCTGCAGTCGCGCAGAGGTCAACACATTTCTCGTCAGAGCCAGAAACACTGCCACTAAGGCTTGCTGCTGCTGCAGTGGTGCCACAGAGAGGCGAGGGATGAAGCGATGGGGATGGTGGTGCAGCAGAGGGATTGCCGGCAGTGGAGAAAACAGGTGTGCTGCAGGAGCGATGAAAAACTCTCCCCGGGAATGCAGTGGCGTGGGGAGACAGCTGAGCAGGTGATTGCCGTGGCAGAGAACCAGCGTGAATGCTCGAGTCAAGCGCGCTAGAGTTTTGCTGCTGCCGGGGGTGTGATTCTACAAGGTAATTTGTAGCAATAGCAGGTGGTAGTGGCAGGGGATTGGGATGCTCCTGTGGGCGGGGAAACATGCGTGCGGGTTGCAGAGAGGATGCAGGTGGTGCTGGTGCCCCTTGCTGAGGGGACATTCTGCGCCTCTTGGCAAGAAGGGACGCATTGCCAGTGAAGAGCAGCGTGCCACCCATGCGTGCAGTTGTGGCGTGAATATGGGTGTGAAGGCGACCAGCTGCACCATCCCACGACCCAGGCGAGAATGTGACTGGAAGGCCGCCCACAGCTGCCACAGCTTCAGGACTTTCGCTCCCAAGCAAGGGGCTGCTGAAGTCACTTGCGCTCTTAGCTCTCACTAGTTGCGACTGTGTGCCCATGTGCCTCGCATGGGAGTGCAGCGGCTCAGGCGTGTTTGCTGCAGGGCGTGTGGATGACGGGTAGCGGAATGGATAGGCAGCAGCAACACGTGTTGCTGCCACCGTCCCTGCCAAACCGTGACCTTCACCACTAGCGTTGACCCATGCTGCTGCTCCACCAGAAAATCCAACTGCGGCTGCACCACCAACAGCAGCACCACCAGCACCGGTGGGAGCAGCAGCAGCAGCAGCGGAGGTTGTGGCAGTTGTGCAAGGGGCAGCGATGGCGGCAGCAACAGCAGCAGCGAGGCCCGTGGAGGTGTGCGTATACGGGCCATAGATGGTCTCCCACGGGATGAAGTTCTCCGGAGGGAGAGGCCGCCACGCCTGCTGCTGCTGCTGCCGCCCTCTGCGACTCCAGCCCACTCGATCCAGGTGCTGGTGCGAGGCAGTGCGAGGGGATGCGTGGGCATAAGGGATAGCAGGGAGGAATGAGAGGGGAGAGAGGGGAACAGCAGTGTTGATGGGAGGAGCTTGCTGTCCAGTGGCCTCCTGCAACTCCTCCTGAACTTCTTTCGCCAGAGCAGCATCAGCGACAACAGCAGGAGGAGCAGCAGCAGGCGGAGGAGCAGGAGCAGAGGCGGGAGGATGCCATGGGACGGCCAATCTGTGAGGCAAGGCCGACAGCAGGGGGATGCGCAGGTGGCGTGGGGCTGCGAGTGAGCGAGCATGCAGGCGAGGTGAGAGAGCAGGGACTGCGTGGTGGTCAAGGGACGCGCGCGGCAGAGAGGATAGAGACGCGTGCACAGATGCACGCAGTGGGGGGCTGAGCGAATGCACGTGGGACGACGCCAAGTCGCTGCCACTGCTGCTGTGCGTGCTGTGGAGCACACTCGTGCTGCCCCCTCCCCCGGAGTTGGCGCGTGGCAGGGAGTGGGAGGTGAAGCGCAGCCTGGAGCGGGCCGTTGGACTGCCCACGCCTGCAGCGCCCGAGGGAGAGGGCGGGCAGTGAGCGAGGGAAGCAGTGGGGGGGGCAGAGGAGGGGCGCGGAGAGCGGGGCGGAGGAGGTATGAAGATAGGGCCGTCGGCGGGTGTCGTGGGATGTGCTGTAGCTGTGCGTGCGGCAGTAAGAGGCTGGGATGAGTCCTCATGTGGCATTGTGGTGAAGATGGTGTAGGGAACTGGTAAACTACACTGCGGCACAGGATGCTGTGCACGCGATGGTGGAGAAGCGAAGACGAATCTATCATGTGCGAGATTGCTGGCGATCGCAACTGTCGTGGCGTCCACACCTGTGCGTGCTTCGTGCACTGCCCGTAGCTGCCCGTCACCCCATGCTCCACCGCCGCCATCATCTGCATTCACTGAACTACCCGCCCCTACCGTTGCACCCACGTTCTTAGGATCACGCAGGCCAGGAGGAAAGTTCAAGTGCGTGCTTTGATTGGAAACAGCAGCGTGCACGGCTGTAGGGGCGCCTCCAAGTAGGCTGCCGAACCGTCCCCCGTCCTGCTTGCTCGTGCTGTTGCTGCTGCAGCTGCTGTTGCTGCTGCTGCTGTTGTTGCTCTTCGTGCTGCCCCTCGGGACAGAGAAATCGCCACGTGCCGCACCAGCACGAGAGGACAGCAACATGGCGGGGAGGCTTCTCGGGCTTGCTGGGATAAAGCGATCAGTGAGGTGCAAATTGCTAGTAGCGGTGGTCCTGATATGCCGTGTGCCCCGCGGGATCCACACGCCGTCCTCCGGCAGCTGCTCCATGGATGTGCACACGCCAGGATTCTCGTACCACCGCTGCAAACCGGCCTCGCCCATAACTTGCGCGGCTCGTCCAATCGCGTCTGAAGTGGCGTCTCTCCCACCCGCCGTTGTTGCTACGGGCGAATCGTTGGTTGGCTGTTGCGAGCAAGTAAGCGGCAGGCCGGCGTTCAGATCGTGCTCTCCCTCCAACTGCAGCGCTTCAAGATTCAACCGCCGGTGTGCTGATATCGTATCGCTACCTGCCTGGGGCGCACCGCAAGTCTCGCGCATTCGAGACGGGGCGGTAGTACCGGCTGCAGCCATATTGGCAGAGAATTCGGCCAACGCCGCCGCCCCAGCATTGCTCGCAGCTGCGCTGCGCTTTTCAATTGCGGCGCCAGCCACTCCTGCGTAAGGCCTTGTCTCTGCATCATACGGCCGCGCTTCGCTGAGGGTCACCGTTGCCTCCCCGCCGTCGCGGGTGGAGGGCGGATCCAGTCGCTGCGGGCGCCATTGGCAGCGTTCAACGAGAGCCTCCAGCCCTGCCGTCGCTGCGGCGTCCGCGGGGTGGGCGGGAAGTGGAGTGGGCCAGCGGTTCCCGTGCGTGCCTGTCACGTTGTCGGAGACGGTGAGTTGTGCGGCCGATACTTCATCATCGTGTCTTCCTTTCTGCACTGTAACTTCTCTGGACCTTCTGCTAACCGCCTCATGCACCCACGGCGCCTCGAGAACAGCGCGCCGCGCTCCTGCACCCGCGACCGCAGGTGGAATTCGTGCAGCTGGTGAGTGACCGCCGAGCATCACCATCTCAATGCAGTCTAACTCTGTCTGCCGCGCCCACACGGCGGGACTACCACGAACCGCAGTCAGATGATCACCATCATTGTCCGACCCCATGATCGCACCATGTGACAGCTCCGTGCATTCTGTAACGTGATGGCGGTCGTTCGTCACGCCCGTCACCATTAAAGCGGCGACTGGGATCGGCGTGCACGCGGCGCCATCCGTGCTGCTTTGTGTGGTTTCTTTGCACTCCGCTCCACGCCACATGGGTTCTCACTGCACGTCTTGCGCTGCGCGGATTTCACTGAAGACCCCGGACGAGCTTCTACCATTAACACTCGTGCTAAATCCCAAGTATCGTTTCGCGTGAGTCCTGCTTCTCGATCACTTGCCAGAGTGAAACTTGCTCCTGAACAAAACGGTTGCGGGAAGCATGATTCGGAATGACGAGTCGTCATTGCGTTCTGTTGAGTGGCGATTGCGCCAGCAATGGAAAAGGCCTGCCCCGTCGTCATGCTTGATTGCAGGGCAGTGCAAGGCCCATACGACGTAGTAGTGATTTAGGAGCCAGCCTGGCATGTAAGGGGGGAAAAGCTGTGGGTTGCAATTTAGGACCATCAACTTGGTAACACCTGTCTAGACGCGGTGTAGTTCTGCTGTGTTGTGTTCCCCTTGGCAATCGGCCTCAGGTGCGAGGAAGTCAACCTAGTGCATATTGAATTTACAGCTCCATTCGGTCACACCAATGTCGTGGTTATGAAATTACACGAACGCCTTCAAAGTATAGCTTCGTGTACAGAGAAAAGCTGGCCGTGGCTGTGGGTGTGCGCATCCTGCCAAAAAGGCTGCACTGTTGGGTTGATTCTTCCCACTGGGCATGTGTACAGATTCTGTTTCAGATTCTGGCGGCGGCTTTGTCGCACTGTGCACAAATAAGGGTTCAGATAGGACGACGTGACGTGGGCTCGCATTTGACGACTTGCAAGCAGGATTCGGTGCGTGCACCACTCCGTTCCGTTGCCAATCTGGAGGGAGTTCACCACAAGAATTTTGAATTTTTTCGGAGTTCGTTCCTCCCCTTCTTTACCCCCTCCACGGAATAGTGGAAGTGACTACGGTAGACCATTTGTGACAACAGTAACGCTTCACGAACATTAACGCATATTTGCGACAATTATGCCAGGTCGTAGTCACTTCCAGTGTTAACCAGCGAATTTTTGCGACTAAAAATATCAACAGAAAACCAGGCCTTGGCCACATGGAAGTCACCCGCAGTGACCTGACCTGACCACCAACCATTCCAGCGACGTTTTTTCCGCCGCGACAAGTTGCTCCCTGAACTGGGGTTGAGGACAAGACTTGTTCAAGAGGGTCCAAGCAGCTTCAAGTCAACGGCAGGTTGGGTAGTCCCTAGGTAGAAAGCAGAGAGACGAACATTATGAGGGCTGTAATATACTTCAAACATGAGACGGGAAAGGTTCTTCACACTTTAGAAAAAACATTGTTGTTATGGCAGAGTGGGGAAGGGGGGTGGCGGGATGTACAAATTTGGCGTTGTGAAATTAGATCCCACGCTGAACTGCCAGTAATGGGCATGGCTCCTCATACAAAGGGTCTTGTTTTCGTTGAACCCCAATCTCTTCCTACCCTCATTAAAGGATCAAGGATGGTGGAAAACACACAAGTGAACAAACGACCACCCTTCATTTCGTCGAAACCAGCGAACCAGCGAAATTTCATAGGACGCTTCTTCACGAAGGAATCACGACAGTTTTTTTGAATCTGTCAGCAGTTTGTCACCTTGTGCGTTCCGTCACCCTGGAGTTGGAGCCCGAGTGTACACCTGACGTTCGTGACAGTCACTCAGAGATTTGGGGCATAGACCGAGTGAATCAGGCGTTTCATTTCGCTGCCTTTTGCATCCCCACAGCCTCCATAGAATAGCAGTATATCTAAGGATTTTTCCTTATTCCTTTCTTGAGTATCATACGCGTACAACGCAAACTTTCGGAAGACCAGCCTCGGTCGGACGACCTTGCATCCCGATCGTAATTCAAGTTACATTCAGATGTGAGAAACTCGAACCGGCACCCAACATCGCAATTCCGAGGCCCCGCCTAGCTAGCCCTTTTCCATATAATTTCTAGGCTTAATTATTTCCATAAAATTTGAAATCAATTTTTTTAGATTGACTTTCGCACATTCTTTTCATTATCAACACTTGGTTACAAAGCTACTTTCTTATGTTATCATCGCTTTTCCAGAGTAATCTGTGGGAGGGGAGCGATAGATTTAGTGGGCAACGAAAGGGTCGACCTGTGAAAGGGATATGAAAATTCCACTCCGATTATGATATCGTTCGTGTCTTCATCGAAGTCATAAAAGACGCTAATAGCCTCGTACGCGTTCGGCGAAGTCTGAGAAACATGCAACAGTTCTAGGCGATGCGGGCCAACATGCAGAAATTGTCGATGAAGGTCGAGCGCATGAGGAATGACAATACCGAGCTACGCCAGACGCGAGGAGAAGCGCGACAGGATTCGCCCACCATGGATAAAGGCAGTCGGAGCACCACACCGAACGAGGCCGTCTTCAGTGAGATTAAGTAGTCGATTGACGTTGCAGAGATAAGGCGGTCACCAACAATAGTACCAACATAAGTAGTAGCAGCTCTGGCGGCGATCACAACAACTATCAAGATAAAGCCGACGAACCACCCCCTCCCCCCCTTCCCCCCTTCCCTTCCCCCCCTTTCGGCGTAGAGGTTTTTGCAAATGCTACTAATGTCACCGACGATATTGACCACATTAATTTCGCAGTTTCACTGTAACGGATAATTGGATATGGGGAATGGGAGATGGGGAACGGGAGATGGGGAATGGGAGATGGGAAATGGGAGACGGGGCATGAGAGATGGGTAATGGGAGATGGGGAATGGGAGATGTAAAATGGGAGGTGGGGCATGGGAGATGGGGAATGGGAGACGGGGAAAAGGATAGGGGTAAGGGAGATGGGGGATAGGAGATGGGGAATGGGAGATGGGGAAAAGGAGATGAGGAATGGGAGATGGGTCATGGGAGATGGTGAATGGGAGATGGGGAATGGGAGATGGGGAATGGGAGATGGGAAGTGAGAGATGGGGGATGGGAGATGGGCCATGGGAGATGGGGAATGGGAGAGGTGTCAGAACATATATATAGCTTATACTATTGTGTAGGCTGTAGTGGGGTATCCCATAGGGGGTACAACCTAGTTAGGGTTTCCTATTTGTACTCACTTCATTCATAGTTCATTCATTCTCGTTCTATTCTCAACATGGTATCGAGCAGGTTCCCCCGCGGGAACTATGCTTAGGGCCCACCACCTTCAAAACTTTTTTTCTGCCCGGAGCGCGCTCCGGGCCCTTGCTCTCTCCTTTTTGGCCAGCCCTGCGGCCCCCTAGACGCCCGCGCGAGCCGCCCTTTGCCGCCCGCGCACCGCCTGTTCAGGCACCTAGCCGCCCGCGCGCCGCCCGTCCCGGCCCTTAGCCGCCCACGCGCCGCCCGTCAGGGCTCCTAGCCGCTCGCGTGCAGCCCGTTCAGGCCCCTAGCCGCCAGCGCGCCCGCCCGTTTAGGCCCCTAGCCGCCAGAGCGCCGCCCGTTCAGGCCTCTAGCCGCCAGCGTGCCCGCCCGTTCAGGCCCCTAGCCGCCAGCGCGCCCGCCCGTTCAGGCCCCTAGCCACCAGCGCGCCGCCCGTTCAGGCCCCTAGCCGCCCGCGCGCCGCCCGTCAGGGCTCCTAGACGCGCACGCGCCGCCCGTTCAGGCCCACAGCCGCCCGCGCGCCGCTCGTCACGGCCCCTCGCCACCTGCGCGCCGCCCGTCCCGGCCTCTAGCCACCCACGCGCGCCCGTCCCGGCCCCTAGCCGCCCACGCGAGCCCGTCCCGGCCCTTAGCCGCCCTCGAGCGCCCGTCCCGGCCCCTAGCCACCCACGCGCGCCCGTCCCGGCCCCTAGCCGCCCACGCGAGCCCGTCCCGGCCCTTCGCCGCCCTCGAGCGCCCGTCCCGGCCCCTAGCCACTCACGTGCGCCCGTCCCGGCCCCTCACCGCCCGCGCGCCGCCCGACCCGGTCCCGAGCCGCCCTGTGCCGCCCGTCCCGGCCGCGCTCTCCCGTCCCTGCTGCACGACGCTGTCCCGGCCCCCACGCCGCCCGCTAGCCGCCGTGCAACCTGAGCCGCCCGAGCCGTCTCCGCAGCTAAGGAGCCGAGCCGCCCGAGCCGCCTGTGCCGCTGACTGCCCGAGCCGCCCGAGCCGCCCGCGCCGCCCGAGCCGCCCGAGCCGCCCGAGCCGCCCGAGCCGCCTACACCGACTGAGGAGCCGAGCCGCTGGTCCTGCGAGGCTGCTGTTGCTGCTGAGCCGGTTGAGCTGCTGTGTTGCTGTGCTGCTGTGCTACTGCGCTGCCCGACCCGTCCTGTCTGGTGAGACCGTCTACTGCTGTCATGGCTACCCCTAGTGTCCTCGCTTTTGACGCTGAGGGTCGCGCCATTGACTTTGAGGTCTGGGTCGACGACTTGCAGCTGTTCTTGCAATGCGATAGAGCAGACGGCCTTTCTCTCTTTGACCTCACTTCTGGCGCCTCTCCTGCCCCTGCTGCTGATGCTGATCCCACTGTGCGCTCTCAGTGGGCTACCCGCGATGCTGCTGCACGTCTTGCTGTGCGTCGCCACCTCCCTACCTCTGAGCGCGCGCACTTTAGTCAGTACAAGAGTGCTCAGACCTTGTACGACGCTGTAGTTGCACGCTATTCTTCCCCTGCCACTGCTGCACTGAGCCGTCTCATTCTTCCCTACCTCTTTCCTGACCTCTCTGCCTTTCCCACTGTCGCTGACCTCATTACGCACCTCCGCACTAGTGACACTCGCTACCGCGCCGCCCTTCCTGCTGAGTTCTGCGCCAAGAACCCCCCCCCCATGTACATCACTCTCTACTACGTAGTCGCGCGCCTCCCTGACTCTCTTCGCGTAGTCAGGGACCACTTTCTCGCGGTCTGTCCCACCACCCTCATTGTCGACCTCCTCGAGAAGGCCCTCCTCGCGGCGGAGAAGAGCATCGTCGCTGTAGGAGCTTCTCGGGGTGACCCTCGCACCCCCATCTTTGAGGGGTGCTCTCCTTCCCCCCTACTGCCCTCTGTTGCCTCTGCTGCTGCTG